CTGCGCGGGGGCGGCCCCCGGCGGCTGTGGTGCGAGTCGGGCGGGCGGCCGTAGCGCGCCATCTGCACGCGCAGCTCGCGGCCGTCCAGCACGGCGCCGTCCATGGCGTCCATGGCGTCCTCGGCGTCACGCTTGTCGTGGAAGCGAACGAAGGCGAAGCCACGGGACTCCTTGGTGTAGCGGTCCCGCGGGATGTACACGTCGCCCACGCGCCCGTACTTCTCGAAGACGCGCCGCAGCGTGTCGGGCGAGGTGCGGTAGGTCAGGTTGTCCACCTTTAAGGAGGTCATGCCCTCCACGTCGGGGGGCGGGCGGCCGTAACTCATGGTTTCTCAAAGGCTCGGCCCGCGGCCCAGCGCTGCGCGTCGGGGATTAGCGCCCTGGGCGGGCCGCGCGCGTCGGCTGAGGCGGCGGGGCTTCCTCACAAGGCTCGGCTCGACGCCGCGCCTCTGCGAAGGTAGCCGCTTCCCGCGTGGAGACGTTTGGAAGAAGCTGGCAGCGCGCCGCGAACAGACCCACTCAGCACCCGACGCCACCTGAGCACTAACTGGGCGCGCTGCGCCGCCAACGCCCGTTTATAGCGCGGCTCACAAAATGGCGCCTGCGCCACCCGGAAGTGAATCCTCTGATTGGCTCGTCCCACCCCACCCCGTAACGTCGCCGCCGCGTGCCCGCCCCCGCCGGGCGCGCCTGCGCGTAGCGCGGCTAGCGGGTCGAAAAGCGCGCAGTCACTGCTGGCGGGAGGGGGAGCAGACTGTGCGGGCGGTTGGAAAGCCCGCGAAACGCTTTCTCCGTCTGCGAGGCAGCTGCGGGAGCGCTCGGGCCGGAGGAAGAGGCTGTGCTCCCACTTTGGCTCCGCCTTCTTTTCCATCCCAATAGCCGAGGTCCACACAGCTTTTCTAGTTGGATCTCAGCCCCGCTTCTTTCAGAGGGTTAACTCCTCCCCACCGTTTGCTTCCCTGTGTTCCGGGTCTCCTCTGACTCCGCTACGTCCTCCCCAGGCCCCTTCTGCAGTCCCAACTTCTCAACCCTGGGTTCCCGCTTGTATACCCACTTGCTGGGCCCACGGGCTCGGCTCCGCTCCCCTCCTCGGGGGCGCGGACGCTATCGCCGGCACACCAGTTCCGTCCTGGCCGCCCGGGACTACATTTCCCAGCAGGCCGAGCGGCCGGCGCCGCAGCTGCGGTCAGGTGCCGGGTCGCCTGACCTGGGTGACTCAGGGCCCGGCGGGTGGGGCCGCGTCGGCCGCAGCGAGCTTGCCCTTGGCACCTTAATCCCATCGCGGCTCCTCAACCTGGAGCAGCGACGTTATTGGCTCCTCTCCGGGTGTGGGCGCCTCCCTACTCGGATCTCATCCTAGGAATGTCCTAACTCTGCCCGTGGGGACAACTTCACCCTAAGCCCGGGATTCTGATCCAAGAACGGGCAGTAGACAGCTCGGCTGCCTGGCCCCCGGATCTGCCTTCTTTCACCGTCTCATTTTTTCCTCAGCATTGTCATTGGGTTCGCCCCGAGGAGAGCTGACTGCCCGGGGCTGTTGCTGACCGCCAGCAGAGCCGAGCCAAAATGTCCCCGGAATCCAAAAAGCTTTTCAACATCATTATTTTAGGAGTTGCCTTTATGTTTATGTTCACCGCCTTTCAAACTTGTGGAAATGTGGCGGTGAGTTGGAATCTGTTCTTCTTTTGAAGTGCTTATCATAATGTATTCAAAGATGATAATTATTCTTCATATGTAAGAGCGTGTTTAAATTGCCCAATTTATTTTCCCCCTTACTCTTCCTCATTTTTTATAGTTAGGTTGGATTTATACGTCAGACATTTCTTCTTAATGTGTGATTGTTAAACATTACCATTTGTTTTTCTGATTCGATATGGGGTTTGGATGTTGGCCTAGTTATTTTATTGTGTTCATTCAGCTCTACGTCAGTGCTTGGATAGTTACGGAGATAAAAACCAAGACCCAGTTACAGCTGTTCCCCCTCTCCTCAGCTTGCTGTTCTGCAGTCTCTTCTAGCCAACTTGCAGCATTCTTAAGCCTTGATGTTCATTGACTCATTGTGAATTTTGACTTCATTCTCTGTCTTTGAGTACCAGGAAACAGACTTCAGCAGGGAAAGTTTGTATAAACGTTGCTGTTGATTAGTTTTGTCTTCCACACAGCAAACTGTCATCAGGAGCTTAAACAACACGGATTTTCACGGCAGTGGATATACCAGGTATTGTACTGTATGATTGGTTTTATCTTGCGTGTAACAGGAGTTGCTTAAATCCCATCAGAGTCACGGGCAGTAAAATAGTATGATTGAATTAGTGGTGATTATTTTTTCTTTTCTGTATTTAGACTCTTTGGATAGAATAGGAGTTGCTTAAATCCCATCAAAGTCACAGGCAATCAATTAGTGTGATTGAATTAGTGGCGATTATTTTTTTCTTTTCTATATCTAGACTCTTTGGAGGGACATGATAGATAAAAGCTTATGAGCTTTAGGTTCTGTGTGGAATTAGACACTGGGTTTGAAATCCTGATCTTAGGCAAGTTACTTCTATGAGTTCAGTTACCCTGCTCAGATAATGTGTGCAAAGCACTTGGCACAGTGCTTAGCATTTAATAAGCACTCAACTATTGTCTTACGGTGTTGGAAAAGACTGTCGGATATACCATGGACTACCAGGAGAATGAACAGATCTGTCTTGGAAGAAGTGCAGCCAGAATGCTCCTTAGAAGCAAGGATGGTGAGACTTCATTTCACACACTTTGGACATGCTATCAGGAGGGAGCAGTCCCTGGAGAAAAGATGTCGTGCTTGGTAGAGTAGAGGGTCCGTGAAAAAGCGGAAGACCCTCAAGGAGATAGGTTGACACAGTGTCTGTAACAATGGGCTCAAACATAGCAATGATTGGATTGTAAGGATGGCGTAGGACTGAGCAGTGTTTTGTTCTGTTGTACATAGTGTTGCTCTGAGTTGGAACCGACTTGACAGCACTTAACAGTAAATATCGTCGTGATTACTGTCGTCCAGTCCTAAATGGAGGGTGTTTTATATGATTCTGAAACATTTAGGCTTCCTATTTTTGTAAGTTTATAACCATTAATACACTGTCATCAGGAGCTTTTAGATTTTGGTTAGTGTTTAGTCCTAGATTTACAGATGTTGAAAATGAAGTGCGAAGAGCTTCACAAGGCACCAGTACATTGTGAGTAGAGCTGGGAGTGTAATATATGTTTATAGCACAACCATGTTCCTTATTTCTCTATGGTTAAATATTGGATTGCAGCAAGCCTTCCCCCCACATTTTTTACTTGGTTCTTTATTACTTATCCTACGCCTGACCTTGTATTTGATATTTGAGAGTAAAACCAAAAGCCCGTTGCCGTCTAGTTGATTCTGACTCATAGCAACCCTATAGGACAGAGTAGAGCTGCTCCACTGGGTTTCCAAGGCTGTAATCTTTATGGAAGCAGAGTGCCGCATCTTTTTCCTGCAGAGCAGCTGCTGGGTTTGAACTGCTGACCTTTCAGTTAGCAGCCCAGCACTTAAACACTGCGCCACCAGGGCTCCTTACTTGAGAGTAAAGGGATGTTATAACGTCCTTTGTCTTAAACGACTGGTCATAGTACTAAAACTTTTTGTAGTGCTTTGCCTTCATGTGTATTCTGAAGAACAGTTGATTTTGAAAGATTTATGAAAGCCAAAGAATAATTTACTATGGATTTATAAATAATAGTGGCTAGTAATTCAGGACCTTTGAAATGGTTTTATTCACACTTTGCTGTAAGATACATGTACTAGGGCTGGTTCTACAGTAAATTAATAATAGTGAAGTGAGTTAAATAAATTCTGGTGTAACCAAGTTATGACTCTGTGCTTGTTATTTATAGTAGAGAAATTTCATCCAGTTTCCAGGAGTTGTAGGCTAAGTTTGTAGAGCAGATGGATTGACTAGCGGCTCTGGAGTCCGATTGCCAGGGTTGGAATCCTGGCTTCACCATTCACCAGCTATACAGCTAGACCTTTGGCAAGTTACTTAACTCTTCTGTGTCTCAGAGTTCTTTTTTGTAAAATGAAGATAATAACCGTACCTACTTTATAGAGCTGTTAGGGTTGAAACAGAAAGTATGTATGAAATATTAAGTGCCTGTTATATGTTAGCTATTATTATACTCGCGCATTACTCATTATTCAGGCACACTGATTCACAGAAACTTTTGATGGGTCTTCAATATTTTGTACAAATGAAAGGTTAATACGGTTTTCATTTCAATAATACGTTTTTGTAACTTTTGACTAAAGGCTATGACTGCTTATTAAAATAACATGCAGATTTTTGTAAAAGTGAACTTTTGAGACAGAGCGTCAGAAGTTGTTATTTTTCCGTTGTGTGTTGTGCATACAGCATGGCGATCATTTACGGAGTGTTCTCTGCTTCAAATTTGATCACGCCCTCCGTGGTTGCCATCGTGGGACCGCAGCTCTCCATGTTTGCCAGTGGTTTGTTTTACAGGTGAGTGGTGTAATCTTCTTTCACTCGTTCACTTAGAACAGTTTCACTGTCATTCAAGCACATAGTACAGGTAGTCCCGGATTTACAACAGGGTTATGTTCCCAACGACTCTGTCATAAGTCGGTTCTGACGTAAGTGAAATACCTTGTTTTTTTTTTTTTGTTTTTTTTTTAGTTTCTTTTATTGCCTTTTGTTATCAATGTCTTTATAAAGCCAATCTTTATTTGTTTTGGGGGGTTGGAAACAGCACATACAAACTCACAGATACGTTTTAAGATCGTGCGTAGTACGATGGATAAGGTCTATCAACAGAAGAAAAACAGGTGGTAGTCAGTGTGGTTCGTCGTAATTCAAATACCTTGTAAGTCAGGGACTACCTGTAAACTTTTAATAAGAATTTGCTGGCTTGAATTGACTGGAATATGGGGATTTGGCTCTCTTCTTCAGAGAGGTCTTAATTAACTTACTGCTCGGGAGTACCATGTTGTTATAATGTGATAGAATTTGTGGATATTTGCTTTTGTTTTACTGTTAATGAAAGTAGTACCCAAAATCAATTTCCAAGAAGATTGAAAAGAACTTTCTGTGAATTAATTTTATACCAATGATGTAATTTTTATGTTCAAACAAAACAAATTTTTCTTTGGGGCTGTACAGCTACATACGGTTATATGTGCTCAGCTAGTGGCAAAGGCCAGTTATTAAATGTCTGATTTCACAAATTTGAAGTAGTAGATTGTGAAATGCCCAAACCCATTGCTGTCAAGCTGATTCTGACTTGTAGTGACCCTACAGGATGGAGTAGAACTGCCCTTAGGGTTTCCAAGAAGCCGCTGGTGGATTTGAACTGCTGACCTTTTGGTTAGCAGCCGAGCTCTTAACTGTGCCACCAGGGCTCCATAATGAAATGAGTGAGTTGCGTTTGTCCCTTTTTTCCAAACTGGAGAGAGAGGTCCTTTACAGGTTCAGTTGATTCCTAGAAGGCATAGCTGGCATTCTGTTTCAGGTGTTGTTTGACTATAATACATTGACCTGTTATATTTTAGCATGTACATTGCCGTTTTTATCCAGCCTTTCACGTGGTCCTTCTACACGGCCTCGGTTTTCATTGGAATTGCAGCTGCTGGTGAGCATTTTGACTTTTGTCTCCTTGCTCCGTTTTTCTCCCCCTGGGGCTTATCTAAGGGTATCATGTATGTGTTTAGCGCATAAAGCCGAGTGATTTCCTTATCTTGATGAACTTTTCCTTTGAATTCTAGTGCTTTGGACAGCTCAAGGAAACTGCCTGACAATAAATTCAGATGAGCACACTATTGGGAGAAACAGTGGAATTTTCTGGGCACTCTTACAGTCAAGGTAGTTGTCCTTGTGGAGCTAAATATTTTCTTTGATTTTTGTTCCACCATGTTTGAGATCTTTGTTTTGTGGAAGGTTTAAATCCTCTGAGTTACATGACTTAAGTTCATAGCTGCGTGTAGTGTAGACTCAGAATTTTGTGGAATTGCTTCGAATGCGTAGATGTGCCTCATTGGAACTTATGTTTAGTAAATAAACCCATACACCTGTTGCCGTCGAGTCTATTCCAACTCATAGCGACCTGGTAGGACAGAGTAGAACTGCCCCAGAGGGTTCCAAGGAGCGGCTGGTGGATTCAAACTGCTGACCTTTTGGTTAGCAGCCTGAGCGCTTAACCACCATGCCACCAGGACTCCGATTAGTAAGTAGAAAATAATATTAGCCAGCATTTATTTAGCATCTGCTGTATTTCAAGGGAAGGAGCCCTGGTGGTGCAGTGGTTAAGCATTTAGCTGCTAACAGAAAGGTTGGCAGCTGAAACTTGCCAGCCGCTCCGCGGGAGAAAGATGTGGTAGTCTGCTTCCATAAAGATTTGCAGCCTTGGTAATGCTACGAAGCAATTCTACCCTGTCCTGTAGGGCCGCTATGAGTCGGAATCGACTCGATGGCAGTGGGTTATATTTCAAGGAAGGAGCCCTGGTGGCACAGCAGTGAAGTGCTTGGCTGCTAATCAAAAGGTCAGCAGTTCTAACCAACCAGCTGCTGTGTGGGAGAAAGATGTGGCAGTCTGCTTCTGTGAAGATCACAGCCTTGGAAACCCTTTGGGGCAGCTTTACTCGGTCACATGGGGTCACTGTGAGTCACAATTGACTCACTGGGTGTAATACAACAACAGCAACAAATTTCAAGGACAAATGGGTTCTTTACTTAACTTCACAGAATCCTTACAACAACCTCACGAGGTTAATTGATATGTGTCCATTCTACAGATGAGAAAACAGAGGCTTAAGATATAAGTAACTTATTTGATTTAAACCATCATTATCTGGGCTTCAAAGAGTACGCCCTTCCCGCTCAACTACACTGCCTGCTAAACCAGAAAACCCACTGCCATCAAGTCAATTCCGACTCACAGGGACCCTATAGGACAGAGTAGGTCTGCCCCGTAGGAGTTTCCAAGGGTGTAATCTTTATGGAAGCAGACTGCCACATCTTTGTCCCTCGGAGCAGGCTGGTGAATTCGAACTACCGACCTTTTGTTTAGCAGCCAAGCGCTTAACCACTGCACCACCAGGATTCCTTCACTACCTGATAGCTACTAACAAATAAACTAAAATTGAAAAGAAAGACTAATTATATCAACACTGAATGATACAGCGTATCCTGTATTTCCTGGTAATAAAGCAACACCAGTGATTGTGCTCATGACTTTTGGATTTCAGAAGTCTGTTCTGAGGATTTACCTTCACAGATCTTGCCTAAAATGCTGGCATTTATAAGGCTTAACAAATGCAAATATTTAGTTTTATGGGGTTGTATACGGAGTCCTGGTGGCCCAGTGGTTAAGGGCTCAGCTACTAACAAAAGGTCGGCAGTTCGAATCCACCAGCTGCTCCTTGGAAACCCTATGGGGCAGTTCTGCTCTGTCCTGTAGGGTCACTATGAGTCAGAATCGACTCAATGGCAATGAGTTTGGTTTTATATAAAGAAGCAGAAACGTAAATGTAAGTGAATGGTTCCTTCCCTAGGAAAGTACGTTAAACGAAGTATCTGATTAGATGCAGAAAATGAAATCATGGTGTGTTTTTTTTAATATGTTCTTTAAAATGTAGGATTTTTTTTTTAATTTAGGATTTTGAAAGTACTGTCATAGAAACTTGTTTCCAAGAAGTCATTCCCAGAGTTTCAGTAAATCACGTCTCAAAGTGAGTCAGATCTTAACCAGAGATCAGATTACTGTCATGTGAAAGGAGACTAAATTCCCTCTAGGTCAGTTAACATTTCTCAGAGAGAGTGGAGTCGATAACTTTCAAATGACCCTGGCCAGGTAGATACTTTTTTAAAATTCTGTAGGTTGGTGTTCTTCTCTCTTTAACAAGTGTTGGAAATAATTGTTTGAAAAACCCTAAGTATTTAAATAATTTACTGTTGTCCTCTCCTTTTTCTTCCTCTAGCTTGTTCTTTGGAAATCTCTACATATATTTTGCTTGGCAAGGGAAAACTCAAATATCAGGTTTGTTTTTTTCTGTTTATTTAGATATGTTCAAAGCAAAATAACAGTTCCATCAATGTTCATTATTGCTGTGTTCAAACATTGTTCTAATAAACCTTGGTACTTTACGTTCTCTCAGATTTTGCCATTTAGTCATCTTTTTCCTTGGATTAAGTTATAAAGTTTGGGCTGTAGCTTATGACTATGCATCAGGTACCATCTTAGGGAATGGAAGAAGGTTATGCCATGGACACGTGTACCAGCCAAGTGCCAGAAGACTTTTGAACTCTCAGCTGTTGTGTTTTGTACACTTCTTTGATTAAAAAGAATATGATTAGGTTCTTAGGCTGTTTTTCTTTCTGATCATGAATACCGGTATTACTCTAACAGAAAGACAAAAATGGAGGTCTCACACTGACCTCCTTGTCCTAAAGCAGAAGTCTAAGGAGGTAGAATTCTGATGATTATAAACCACCTCTGAACGTAATGCTGATTCTAGAATTGTGTGGTTGGTCGATGCTATCTACTTTCTTCTTTTTTTTTCCCCAGAGAGTGACCGAAGAACAGTGTTTATTGCCCTGACAGTGATTAGCCTTGTGGGGACAGTTCTTTTCTTTCTCATTAGGAAACCAGATTCTGAAAATGTCCTGGGAGAGGAAGAATCTTCTGATGACCAGGACCTGGAAGTCAGCGAGTAAGGAGTTTTGGAAACATTCCTTTTGTTTTAAAATACATTTAGAGTGTATCTAGAAATTACCCACCTTTTTAGCCCTAAGTGATAAGCAGCTATTCTCGGTTGGTTACCTTGTTAGACAAGAGGGAAAAGTTTTAAAGGAAATAAGAAAAGGAAGAAGGTAAAGGAGAGATTGGAGGCGGAAAAAGGAAAAGTTAGGGAAGGTAGTGAAAAGGTGTACAGGGATGTACTGTATTTTTACGTAAATAATGCACACATTATATGTATTTTGGACAACCATGCAGTCCCTCCCCCCTGCTATTTTCATAAGCGGGCTATGCCTTGAGTTTTTTATGAGTGTGTTATTTGCAAAAAAATATGGTAAGTGTAATCCCAGCTTCGCCACTGACAAGTTGTAGGACCCTAAACGAAAAAAACCAAACCCATTGCCGTCAAGTGGATTCCGACTCATAGTGACCCTATAGGACAAAGTAGAACTGCCCCATAGAGTTTCCAGGGAGCGCCTGGTGGATTTGAACTGCTCACCTTTTGGTTAGCAGCCATAGCACTTAACTACTACGCCACCAGGGTTTCCTGTAGGACCCTAGACGGTAGCAATTATCCTCTTAATTTCCCTAGGCCTCGATTTCCTCGTTCAGTTCAGCAGGCGCCCCACGTGTTTTCATGGGCAAGGATGTGGGCTTATAAAGTTAAATAGAAAACAGCCTCTATTTTCTTACTATTTCCTCGCTTACTATTTCCATGAACCAGCTCTAATTCTTCAACTCACATAGTACGAGAGAGCAGCAGGCTGTCACCAGCTGTCATAGGTGGGCCTTGGTTTTACCCATGCTCTTACCTACAGCACCCAGTTCTGCACCGACCTACTTCGGCCGTTTTTCCCAGAAGTAGTCCAAATGCAGAAACGGGTGTGGCCCTGTGTTTTCCTAACAATTGTAAATTGCCTCGAGCACTATTGAAAACATCATGAGCGATTTGGGGAGGCAAAATTAATGTTTACCACGCTCATTTTACTTTCTTTATGAATTGATAAATTGTGAAGCTTACCTTGCAGCATTTGATCTGTTGTTAAACTTTTGCATTGTGCAGTTTATGCTGCCCGTTTAATCCACAGAGGGGCCTAAAATTCTCCAGTCATAGACCCATTGAGCATTCAGTTTGCAACAGATTTATTTCAAGAGAGGTGTGAACATATATTCTCAATATGTGTGTATTTTATATGATACCTGTTTATACACATTTTATGTATGAAATGGTGTATCTGTATATGTCTATGTATGTACGTGGAGCCCTAGTGGCATAGTGGTTAAGAGCTCAGCTGCTAACCAAAAGGTCAGCTGTTCGAATCCACCAGCCACTCTTTGGAAACCCTATGGAGCATTTCTATCCTGTCCTTTAGGGTCACTGTGAGTCAGAATCATCTTGACGGCAGTGGGTTTGGTTTGGTGTTTGGTTTATGTATATATATATAAACACAGACCAATAGAAACTGCAGAATATGTCTATGAAGATGAATACCACAAATTCAACAGAAATTTAATACCTTCTCATTAATAAATATTAGGTGTTGGTGCTAGGAAGGCAGGTACAACCCGCTCCCTGCTTCTAACGCCCTTCACTGCCCAGTGGAGGAGATAGACAAGGGATTGTGTGACCGTGATCAGGTGCAGTACTGAGGAGCCTGCTCAGCGTTTTTCGCATTCTTTCTTACTGCATTGCTCCCAAACTTGAAGCTTTGGTGTTTAGTCTACAAATAGCACCGAGCACGTGCCAAACCTGAAGCCATAGCCGTGGACAGGAGAGATGAAGTCCCTGCTCTTAGGGGGCTGGCTTTGTACTCTCCTGCTGGTGTAACAAATAACCCAAGTGAGCGGCTTTCAAAACAAGTTTCTTCTCACAGTTTAAGAGGCTAGAAGTCCGAACACAGGCTCTAGGGGAGCGCTCTTTTTGTCCGCTTTGGAGGAAAATCCTTGTCTCTCCAGCTCCTCTTCCTTGGTTCCTTGACAGTCTTCACATGGCATCATTCTTTCCGTGTCTGTGCTTGCTTGCTTCTGTGCGTAATCTGATCCTTTTATATCTCAGAAGTGATTGATTTAAGACACAGCCTTTACTGATAATGATCTCAGTAACATAGCAAAGAAAACGCCATTCCCAAATGGGATTACATCTACAGATATTAAAAAAAAAACCAAACCCGTTGCTGTCGAGTCGATTCCAACTCGTGGTGACCCTGTAGGACAGAGTAGAACTGCCAATAGGGTTTCCAAGATTGTAATCTTTACGGAAGAAGACTGCCACATCTTTTTCCCAAGGAGAGACTTGAAAATTCTATGAACCTATTGTGTTCTGTCCTGTAGGTCACTATGAGTCAGAGTCTCTGTGAGTCAGAATAAAGAGCCACCAGGAACAATTCAGACACACTCTAAAGTGAGGACATGGGCCCTGCAGGAGACCCTGGAGCCAGGGGCACTGAAGGCCATTGGAACTAGTTGCCAGACCATGGAGCAGACAGAGCTTTTGCAAACTTAAAGGAAAATGTGATAGTATTTCTGTTCTCTTTGCAATTTTCAGGGGGAAAAACTACTTCTTTTTCTTTTTTTTAAATCAGGTCTCCCCAGAACAATATGACAAAGGCAGTAGATGCGTTTCGTAAGTATTTTCAGTATCTGAAATGCAAGAGCTGTTCAGGAACAACCCCAGCCTTTGCCTTTCTCCTTTTCCCTGGTAACTGTGGATTGGCGATCCCCCAGAGTTTTCATTTCTCCAGGTACGCTGCTCCAAAATGCGTTGGCCTTCTCAGTAAATGTCTGTAATGGAGGTGTGACGGGGGTGTGAAGATACACTGCCATCCCGTGTGGGTGTGTGAGGGAGGCATTAAGAGGCTGAAAAGAACTCGGATTCTCTCGGGAGGAAGGACAGTAGGAGACCATTTCCTGCTGGCATCGGAAGGGCACATCTTGTCACTCCTCAGGACAGAGCAGTAGCTCTGGTGACCCGGTAGCTGTCAAACTTGCGCTCCTTGACGAGGACGCTACTAGACTCTTCACGTGCTTCATTTCATTTGCTTCTCCCCTATGACTATCTTGTAACGTACACCTATCATTATCTCCATTTTACAGAAGAGAAAACTGAGGCTTAGAGAAATCAGATGCTGTCCCCAAGGTGAATCAGCTCGTATGGGATTTGAGCCCCAGCTGTCAGACAGCCAGCCAGCAGTTCTGATGATGGTCATCTTGTGGCTTCTTCAGAAACAGGCAACCATGGCTTCTGATTCCACTGGGGCCTGACACTTGCCAATTCTTTGTTTCTGCTTACCACTCTCTCTGCTTCGTCTCCCAAGAGAGAGACTCTGACTGAGGCAGTTAACTGTCCAGCAGGGAGGAGCTTTTGGGGCCACATTCTTTTTGTAAATCGCTTTTAGGCCCCTGGACTCCTGTATGGCCTTATGACTGGCCTATAGGTTGTCTTTGGCGGGAGTGTGACTTCTTGATCTAATTAGCTCTGACCTGGGTCAGATGACACAGAGCATGCTAACTTTTGGCTGAGGGATTCCTGGAGCCCCTTTTATAGGCAGGACCTGGGGGCCTGGGAGTCTTAGCTTTGCATACATGGTCTACCATTGCTAAGGCTGTTTGATCAGGCTTTGGATTTATGCATTTCTGTTTCAGGAGTACATTCATAATTATAAATTGGGTTACACGTTATAATTAGAAGGAATATAGCCTGGCTGTCTCCTAGCAAGACAGGTATCAGCACAGTCAGAGGCCTAGCTTTCAGCTTTTTAGGTCTGGAAACTTGTTGGTTGGAGGGGAAAGGACTCCCACTAAACCAGCTGACGGAAGTCACCATTTAATAATTTGACGGGCTGGCATTTTTCAGTGAGCCTTTTCATAGATTCCCCTTCTTGTTACCAGGGGCCTAGAGAGCCACGTTGGTGTCCGGTGGCTTGTTGACTTGGTGAGCATGGTAGAGTCAGGAGGAGGGAGGTGGACGGCCTTCAGCTGTGGGATGGTCGTCCAGCCAGGAGTGGCTTGGTGCGGACTCCCTGCTCTACTACAGAATCCATCCCCTCTCTGGTCACCAGGTTCTGAATGTCTTTCCTGGATTGTGGAGCAGACTTGGCCTTAGCTTCTCTGTCTGTAACTAACATGATCAGGGCTACATGGTTTTCATCTTGGAGCTAGTTGATGACTTAGTACCCAAAACAACCCATTGCCGTCAAGTCAATTCTGACTCATAGCGACCCTATAGGACAGAGTAGAACTGCCCCATAGAGTTTCCAGGGAGCGCCTGGTGGATTCAGACGGCTGGTCTTTTGGTTAGTAGATGTACGTCTTAACCACTACACCACCAGGGTTTCTGTGGTAACTTGGTAGGGCTCAGTAAACCAAAAACCAAGCCAAACCTGTTGCCATTGAGTCTATTCCAACTCATAGTGACCTTATAGGACAGAGTAGAACTGCCCTATAGAGTTTCCAAGGAGTGGCTGGTGGATTCAAACTGCTGAGCTTTTGGTTAGCAGCCAGGCTCTTAAACCACTGTGCCACCAGGGCTCCAGCGCTCAGTAGTGGTGGGATATTGGACTGTCGGGTTTGAATGGGAGAAAGAGGGCAGCGGTTAAAAAAGGTAAGGCTCAGAAAGTGCTGTAGGGCAAGCAGGTTTGGGTTGGTTCCTGGGCAACTGGGGAACAGCGTGAGGTTATGGGGTGGCAGAGAAGCCAAAGGCAAAGGGAGAAAGGAAGCAGAATGTCAAGCATTTTAACGAACTTGTCTGTAGACCAGTGTTTCGTTTATTATTTAATCATGACATCCTTCCGTTGGTGCTGTGACAGATGCTATATAGAGAAGATTCCTGCCTTCTAGAAGCTTATCATTCAAAAGCATTTAATTCCTCAACTTAATGTATAACTTTAATGTGATTCTAGAACATCTCAGTGATATTTCTAAATTTTTTTTTTTTTTCACCTTGACTGAACGATACTCAAATTCATCTAGAAGACTGATTATTTGAAAATAGCCAAGAGAATTTTTAAAAGAAGGCAGGGGGCTTAACGCTAATAACTATTAAAACCTATTTTGAATCCATTTGAAAGCATTGGGCTGGAGAGACCAGTGGAACAGAAGTCTGGAATCAGGCTCATGTGTGTATTGGAATATGTTGGTGCTGTTGTTGCTGTTAGTTGCCATTGAGTTGCCTCCTACTCATGGCAACCTCATGTATTGCCCACTCCTGCGCCATCTTCATGATTGTTGGTATACAGGAATATAGACTTCAGTGAAAGGGAATCTTGGATAAGTGGCATTGGACTGACTGCATGAGAAGAAAATAAAGATCCATCCGTACTTCATATCTTACACTAAAATTCCTGGTAGCTTAAATATAAAAACGAAACCAATAAAAATAATGGAAGAAAATAATTGGATAGGGGATATCCTTTCAAGTATATGAGTCAGATGATAAAGGAGAAGATTAGACTCTTTGATGACCTGAAATGTAAAGCTTCAATATGTCAAAACAACCACAAGTTAAAATGGCAAGGAGAGTCTCTGGAGAATATTTGCAGTACATAGACGATAAAGAGCTATTCCCAAGTGATGAGAAAAGCATAAGCATTTCAGCAAAAAATAGGCATTTTACAAGCAAAGAAAAAATTACTATAGCTTAAGTATAATATAAGAAACACAAATTAAAAAGCCTTCTATTGTATTTCAAAAGATAAAAGATAATTCTCAGGGTTAGGGGGCCAGATACTTACATACATAAGACCACACTGCTGATAACGATATGCTTTTGTATTACTTTCTGAAGGGTGATTTATCAATAAGTATCAAAAGCCTTAAAAATGATTATAACCTTTGATCTAGAAGTTCCACTAATAGGATTAGTCTCGGAATAATTAAGATCTTTTTTGCCAAATTTACCTAGTAAGATGTTTGTATTAGTGAGAGACTGGAGGTAATTTATCCAACTATGAAGCATTAGTACCTTTTTACAGTGGATCTTTCTAGCCATTAAAATGTTGTTCTCCATGAGTATTAGAAACTATTTGCTCTGTTATGTGAAAACAAATTATAAGATAGTATATATGGTGAAGTTTGTTTTTGTAATAAAAAGCATAGAAAAAGTCTGGAAGGAGATTCATTAAGGTGTTAGACTATATATTGTTTTCCTTCATAGAACGGCTTTCCTGAGCTATAATTCACATACCATACAATTCACCTATTTAAAATGTAGAATTCAGTGATGTTTAGTATACTCACAGAGTTGTGCGACCACCATCACAATCATTTTTATCACCCCCCAGAAAAAGCCCATGGCTGTTAGCAGTCACTCCTGGTTTCCCCCAGCCTCTCCTCCTCCCTGTCCCTAGCTTCTGTCACTATAGATTTGCCTATTCTAGACATTTCATATAAATGGAATCAGACAATATATGGTCTTCTGTGTCTTTTGCTGAGTATATCATTTATTTAGAGTAATGGTTTCAAGGTTCAGCCACTTTATAGCATGTTGTAACACTTGGGTGGTTCTTGCTTTTTATAGGTGTTATGACTAAGGCTACTATGAACATTCACGTACAAGTGTTTGTGTAGACATGTTTTCCTTTCTCATGGGTATATACCAAGGAGTGGAATTTCTGGGTCATAGTCTTTCCACCACTTGTCTGTCAGTTTATCATACTGTGGTGGCTTGCATGTTGCTGTGATGCTGGAAGGTGTGCCACCAGTATTTCAAATACCAGCCGGGTCACACAGGGTGGGCAGGTTTCATCGGAGCTTCCAGACTGAGACAGACTGGGAAGAAGGACCTGGCAATCTACTTCTGAAAAAACTGGCCAGTGAAAACCTGTGAACAGCAACAGAACATTGTCCAATATAGTGCCGTAAGATGAGCCCCTCAGGTTGAAGCCACTGAAAATACAACTGGGGAAGAACTGCCTCCTAAAAGTCGAGTTGATCTTAATGATGTCGATGGAGTCAAGCTTTCGGGACCTTCATTTGCTGCTGTGGCACAACTCAAAATGAGAAAAAAAATCTGCAAACATCCATTAATAATCTGAATGTACGAAGTATGAATCTAGGAAAATTGAAAGTTGTAAAAATGAAATGGAACTCTTGAAGATCGATATCCTAGGCATTAGTGAGCTGAAATGGACTGGTATTGGCCATTTTGAATCAGGCAATCATGGTCTACTATGGCGGGAATGACAAATTGAAGAACAGCATTGCATTCATTGTCAAAAAGAACATTTCAGGATCTATCCTGAAATACAACAGTGCTGTCAGTGATAGGATAATATCTATACGCCTACAAGGAAGACCAGTTAATATGGCTATTATTTGAATTTATGCTAACCGCTAATGCCAAAGATGAAGAAATTGAAGATCTTTACTGACTTCTGCAGTCTGAAATTGATCAAACCTGCAATCAAGATGCATTGATAATTACTGGTGATTGGAATGTGAAAGTTGGAGACGAAGAAGGATTGGCAGTTGGAAGGTAATGGCCTTGGCAATAGAAACAACTACTGGAGATTGCTGTATAGAATTTTGCAAGACCAACTTACTCGATGGAAATACCTTTTTTCAACAACAAACAGTGACAATACACGTAGACCATGCTGGATGGAATACAAAGGAATCAAATCGACCACGTTTATGGAAAGAGACAAGGGAGAAGCTCAATACCATTGGTCAGAACAAGGCCGGGGCAGACTGTGAAACAGACCCTCAGTTGCTGATATGTAAGTGCAAACTGAGTTTAAGAAAATTAAAACATGTCCACAAGAGCCAAAGTACAACCGTGAGTATATCCCACCTGAATTCAGAGACCATCTCAAGAATAGATTTGACGCATTGAACGCTAATGACCGAAGACCAGACGAGTTGTGGGATGACATCAAGGGCACCCATACATGAAGAGAGTAAAAGGTCATTAAAAAGACAGAAAAAAAAAAAAAAAGACCAAAATGGATGTCAGAAGAGACTGAAATTTGCTCTTGAACATAAAGTAGCCAGAGTGAAAAGAAGAAATAATGAATTAAAAGCTGAACGGAAGATTTCAAAGGGCAGGTCAAGAAGACAAAGTAAAGTATTATGACGACATGTACAAAGACCTGGAGTTAGAAAACCGAAAGAGAAGAGCACACTCAGCATTTCTCAAGCTGAAACGACTGAAGAAAACATTCAAGCCTTGAGTTGCAGTATTAAAGGTTTCTCAGGGTTGCGTCCTTTCACCATACTTAATCTATATGCTGAGCAAATAATCCAAGAAGCTGGATTGTATGAAGAAGAAAGGGGCATCAGGATGGGAGAAAGTCTCATTAACAACTTATGTTATGCAGATGATACAACCTTGCTTGCCAAAAGTGAAGAGGACTTGAAGCACTTACTGATGAAGATCAAAGACTACAGCCTTCAGTGTGGATTACAGCTCAACATAAAGAAAACGAAAATCCTCACAACTGGACCAATAAGCAACATCATGATAAACAGAAGATTGAGGTTGTCAAGGATTTCATTTTACTTGGATCCACAATCAACACCCATGGAAGCAGCAGTCAAGAAATCAAAAGATGCATTGCATTGAGCAAATCTGCTGCAAAAGACCTCTTTAAGGTGTTAAAAAGCAAAGATGGCACCTTGAAGACTAAGGTGCGCCTGAGCCAAGCCATGGTGTTTTCAATTGCCTCATATGCGTGTGAAAGCTGGACAGTGAATAAGGAAGACCAAAGAAGAATTGATGCCTTTGAGTTATGGTGTTGGCGAAGAATATTTAATATACCATGGACTGCCAAAAAAGGAACAAATCTGTCTTGGAAGAAGTACAGCCAGAATGTTCCTTAGAAGTGAGGATGGCAAGACTTCGTCTTACGTAGTTTGGACATGTTATCAGGAGGCACCAGTCCCTGAAGAAGGACATCATGCTTGGTAAAGTAGAGGGTCAGGGAAAAAGAGGAGGACCCTCAAGGAGATGGATGGACACAGTGGCTGTAACAATGGGCTCAAGCATAAGAGCAGTTGTGAGGATGGCACAGGACCAAGCAGTGTTTTGTTCTGTTGTACAGAGAGGGTCGCTGTGAGTCGGAGTCCACTCGACAGCACCTAACGACAACATAGCATCTATACATTTAACCTTTTGCAGAACTGCCAGATTGTTTTCCAAAGTGGCTGTACCATTTTACATTCCCACCAGCAGTGTATGAATGTTCCAGTTTGTTCACATTCTCACCGATTTATGTCTCGTTGATTATGGTGAAGTGGTATCTCATTATAGTTTTGATTTGTATTTCCCTGATGGCTAATGATGTTGAACATCGTTTCATGTGTTTATCGGCCATTTGTATATCTTCTTTGGAGAAATATCTATTTAAATCTTTGCCCATTTTTGAATTAATTTTTTATTATTGAGTTGTAAGTTTTTTTTTTTTTTTTGCGTATTCTGGATAGAATTCCATTATTACATATATGATTTGCAAATATTTTAGTTTTTCCTTTGTCACTTGTGATTTACTTCTAAATTTTCTTCCAAGAGTTTTATTGTTTTAGCTCTTGCATTTAGATCTGTGGCCTATTTTGAGGTTTATTTTGGTGGAGGGTGAGTTCACCCTCATTCTTTTGCATGTGGAGATCCAGTTGCCTCAGCTCCGTTTGTGGAAAAGACTATTCTTTCCCCACTGAATGGCCTTGGAACCCTTGTCAAAAATCAGTTGACCATAAATGTGAGGATTTATTTCTGGACTCCCAGTTCTATTCCATTGATCTCTATGTCTGTCTTTGTTCTAGTATCATACTGTCTTGATTACTGTTTTTTAAGTTTTGAAATCAGGAAGTGGAAGTCCTCCAACTTTGTTCTTTTTAAAGATTGTTTTGTTTGTGGTAGCTCTGTTGAGTTTCCACATGAATTTTAGGAAAAGCTTGTCAATTTTCGCAAATTCATGATGTTTAAAATTTTTTGTTATCTAAACCTGATTGTTCTAAAATGAACGTGCATTGCTGTCGTAAGTTTTTTATTAAAAAATGTTTTACACTTTGTATTGATAATGTATTTGTTTTCCCTGGAAATACATGAAAATCGGTGAAAACAATATGTTGCATTTATTTTCACGAGATTAAAATTAGAGGAAAAAAATTTCTTTGTTTTTTTAGCATATGGAGAAAGGGCACAGTGTGTGTTGACTTATGTAAGTTCCAAGGTCAACAGTTGAGTGAGAACCAAAATCTAGATCCACTATTAGCTTCATAGATTAACCAGCCAGTTGCCACCAAGTCGACTCCAACTCATAAAGAACTGTGTGCTGTAGGGTTTCCAATGGCTTGATTTTTCGGAAGTAGATCTCCAGGCCATTCTTCTGAGATGCCCCTGGCTGGACTCTAACTTGCAACCTTTCGGTCAGCAGCGGAGCACATTAGTGGTCTTTAAATTATGAAATGTGAGCAGGTTCAAAACGACAGTGAAATTAAAATGTATCGTTTTTACATTCTCTTTTGCAGATTTCAACTAAATTTAACAGAAGAAAAGCAAGTATTAAAGGGATTATAGTAATGAACAAATATGCAGAACTCAAGATTCAGATCTCAGATCACCCAGGAAGTAATGCCCCAGCTTCTGGGTCATTACAAACTTCCCCCGTGATTCTGATCTTGCGTCCAGTCTTAAAGCTGCCCCATGATAACTCCTCAGGGAACGTAGCGCTTTGCCAAATGCTGACTCCCTTTAACAATAGCTTAACCTTTAATCATGTTGACGTATTCTATTGTTTTGTTTGATTCTGGGTTTTTTTTTTCCTCCTTTTTATGTTTGATTATATGAGCTAGACAATGTGTTGGAGAAAATGGAACTCTAGAATATATTTAAACAGTAGAAATAAACATTTTATTTCTATAGTTCACACCTTAAGCGTTTTAACATGAATCGTTAACCCGTGTCCCAAAGTATTTGTTTACTGGCATTATTGAAAAAGGGATGTTCTGGTTGAAGGAATATTTTAGAATATTTGTTTCATTAATTCAAATCTAATTAAGTACTCCTAAATTTGTTTTCTTTTTCTACAGAAAAGTCTCTTAAGTTATGCGTCACCAAGGAGATGCTCCTTCTAAGTATTACAACTGCTTATACAGGTAGGAGTTAATTGCTGTTTTGGTTTTCTATTACTGCATAAGGACAATAAGGGCTTAAAACAACCACCATGTTGTTATTGCTCAACAATTCTGTGCACTGACTGGGGCTCAGCTGGACGGTTCTTCTGGTGGTCTTAGTTGAGGTCTCTGTGGCTGCTGTCAGAGGGTGCCTGAGGCTGGAACTTCCAAGATAGTCTTATTCCCATGTCTGGTACCTTTACTAGGTTAGCTATAAAGCTGGGCCTCTCTTTCCCTGTAGCCTCAGGGCCTTGACCCCTTGCCTAATCTCTCCACATGATCCCCAACTTGTGACCTGTGCCCGGCAGGACAGCCAGATTTACTACATACTGATAAAGGGCTCCAAGAATGGCAAAAGGAGAAAGCACCAGATCTCATTAAGGCCAAGGCCTGGAATGGGCCCAGTGACTCTCCTGCTGCTTTCTGCATTGGTCAAAGCAAGTCCCAGAGCCAGCCCAAATTCGTGGGGAGGATTCTACACAAGGGCATGAGAACCGGAAGGGGTCGCTCACAGGGGACCGTCTTTGGAGACTTTGTTGTTGTTAGGTGCTGTCAAGTTGGTTCTGACTCATAGCAACCCCGTGTACAACAGACTGAAACTTGCCCCATCCTGTGCCATCCTCACAATTGTTGTTACGTTTGAGCCTATTGTTGAAACCATTGTATCAGTCCACCTTATTGAGGGTCTTCTACCACAAATACATAGTGATTTTAGGGCAACATGGAGCACTACAGAAAATCCCCAGGACTACATCCCTATAACTTTATATGGATTAAAATAGTTTGTAATGAAATGGAGTGTGCTCTGTGGATCACCACATGGTGATGGGATGTCATAATAGGTGGTCACTGTTAGGTTGTAAGAATGAGGAACTCTGTTCCCTTTTAGAGTGCTTTTAACATGCCTGTTATTATCTTTGCCTTTATGTGCCTCATAGGTACAAAATGTTCCGTTTAGGAGAAATAGAATAAACATTAACCAAACCAGTTGCTGTCAAGTCGACTCCAACTCATAGAGCAGAACTGTGCTCCACAGGGTTTTCAAGGGCTGATTTTTCGGAAGTAGATTGCCTTGCCTTTCTTCCAAGGTGCCTCCGGCTGGACTCACACTCCGACCTTTTGGTTAGCAGCCAAGCACTTAACCATTTGCACCACCCAGGGACTCCAGAATAAATGTCGTTGTTATTGGGTGCCGTCAAGTTGATTCTGACTCACAGCGACCCCAAGTAACAGAGTAGACCTGCCCCATGGGGTTTTCTAAGCTGTAAACTTTACGGAAGCAGATCATCAGGTCTTTCTCTTGCAGAGCTGATTGGTAAGTTTGAACCAGCAACCTTTGGTTAACAGCGGAGCATTTAACCGTTGTGCTACCAGGGCTCCTTAGAATCAACATTAAACATCTTTAAAATGGACAGTTGAGGTGTATAGCATTAAGGAGTCAAGGTCCTCTACTGATTTACTGTTATTTATATGTTTGGAATTCTCTGAGGAAAAGGAATTAATTTAAGCATTATCGTGCTTTTAAGCAACAGTAGGTAGTATGCATTAGTTTCCAGGCATACCTTGTTTCCCGGGAAAGCTATTATAAGGAAAATGGGCACTTTAGTGTTCACTCGCCAGATTGTGTTAACTATACCCTCTGCCCACTCGCTGCCAGCACACAGAGGTGACAGTTTTTAAATAAGGATGCCTTTGCTTATTGGAGTTGTATATCTTTATAGGAAATGTGCAGCAGCTGCCATCTTGTGGCTAATTCCATTTCATCCGTCTTGTAGCGTAACATGGTGCTCTGCTTACCAAGTAATATTTCAGGCTCAGTGGCATTTGTTTTGTACATTTGTTTTCTGTGTATGTGGCTCAAATGCTACTGGACATGAAGGGGAACTAGGCGGGGAGAGCGTGAATGTATAGTTAACTTAAACCTGATTTTTTTCCTCAAGGTCTGGAATTGACTTTCTTCTCTGGTGTGTATGGAACCTGTATTGGTGCTGTCAATAAATTTGGGATGGAAGAGAAAAGCCTCATTGGACTTTCTGGCATTTTCATCGGCATTGGAGAAATTTTAGGTTGGTTTAAAGAAAAGTCTTTGTGTTAAAAAAAAACCATTTGTTACACTCGAACTTTTAAATGTTCTTCTTTTCTCTGCCCTTGACTTTTTCCTCTTCCATGTTTATTTTCTCTCAAGCTAGTAGGTCTTCGTGTTTCTGTTATCACTATTCTAATATAAATGGTAAAACATTTGCCAGGTAATTCACGATGAAACCATAAACAAGAAAGCATGTGGTCTCTCCCAGATTTTCCACTTAGAAGAGTTAAGGAGAGTGTCTTGGGATCCCTGACTTTCTAGTTACTCCTTCATTCAAGTAAGATTTGTCCACCACCTGAAGTATATTGGATATTGTGTTAGATACAAGACACTTATCGATTCAACAGATATTTATTGTGCATACAGCGTGTGAACAGAACAAACATCCCTACTTATCTGCCTTTGTACGAACGCAGACCGTTGTATGGAGAGACCGCATTTTGTTGATCTGTTCGTCAGTCGGTGGATGTTCAGGTTGTTTCCACTTTTTGGCTGTTAGGAGACGTGCCGCCGTGAGTGTTCGTGCACGTGTTTCTGTGTGGACACGTTTTCATTTCTCTTGGCTGTATACCTGAGAGGAGAATGGCTGGGTCATCTGACACGTCTGTGTTTGATTTTTCTCCTCATTACGGGTCATATTTTCCTGCTTCTCTGCATGATAGCTTTTTACTGGCTACCAGAAAGACCAAACCAAACCCATTGCTGTCAAGTTGATTCTGACT